CCACTCAGAGCAGGTAGCCTTTCATGACCTTCATCCTTCAATCATTTTTATGTCTATTGTGGGCACACGCACTCCGAGGATCAAACCGCAGTGATATTCAATACAGATCAAAAACAGTGCTACTTTCCCGATTCCTACATCCCAGAAGGTCTCGTAACGTTATACAAGAAGATATTAATTCCAATCCAATTACATTTCAGCCCAAAAGATTGTGATGATGCTGCTTGCTGAAATCAGGCTGTGGCTACAGACCTTTGAGAATGGCCTAGATTTTTTTCTATAACAGACAAAAAGGTTGAAGCCGCCTGAGCAGCATGAATATTTGGATGAATGAAAATGAGCCTGCCTCTGTGAATGTTCTATTTCCGCGACACATCGAATTTTCATTTGCACATGTATGTGAGGCTGTGGAAGATTGCATTTCTATTTTAATTACCAGCTCTAATGCTGGAAGGCCCCGAACAGAGTTTGGAGAGCCACCATGCTCTCTCAGTAACTCACACTTGAAATGGTTGCTACAGATACAAATTGCTCCAATCTCTCTGCCGCTATCACCTGCCTCAGTATAAATTACTTTTTGTGCAGCTGCAATTACCCACACAGCACAACAATACGGATGTTGTTCGTTTGCAGCCTGTGCATGACAAATGCAAAACTGCATGACAGAGACTAATACAGACACTGTAATCGATAAATTATGCATATGCTGGTGTTTTTTTATTCTCAGGACCACCTGCACCACAGAGTCAAAGATGGAAGTGTGCTGTATTCACTAATTGCCTCTTCAGTTGAGCAACACTAAATTTAATCAGACCACAAACTTTAATGCCTAACTCCCCGGTGGCACATAATGGACTCGGTAATGCAATGAAATCCTTATCTCTGCCTGCTCGGCCCCCATATGTAGCCGGCTTAATGGCATGAAGGCTACATAGAATGCTATGACCGATGTAATGGCCTTTGTGGTACCCTCTGCTGGTGTGCTAATGAGATCCCAGCATTCAAAGGGACCAAAGAGTCCAGGCCATTAGTGAAGAGTTACACTTGGCCTGGATGATTTGTAAGGTTCATGGTTCATTTATTCCCTTTCTCTTGGTTTGACATATCCCTCTCAGATTAAGAAATGCGTTTTCAAATAAACCCGCTCCGTGTCCCGTCGTGCTTGTTGGGCACCGTACGGCTGAATCCCCGGCTCAATGCTCGGCCTCTTTTATGTGACAAACCCCTCTGATGCCAACAATATAGTATGACAGCAAGCCAGAAACATGAATAATACAAATGACAACCAGAGACCCATCTCAAGGCTAAGTCTCCTCAACTTTACAGTGAATTAGACGCTGACTAATTTCTTTTAAACTGCTGCGAATAGTTAGCAACACTGATTTTAGCCCCAGTTGCAGTTAAAGCCTCATTTTTGTTGCACCTCAGCAAAAATAAACTTTACTTTGATAAACTGTTTAAAAGTCGTTGCATGTAGAGTAAAAATTAAATATGCAGGATCTAAAAAACACAAATCTCTCAATTCTCTCAAATAAAAGGGGCTCATCTTCTTTGTAGAGAAAGGTTTCTGACGTTATGCTTATTCTTACCCTGCCATGGAGGTTATATTTTCTCCCTTCTGTTTGTCTTTTGGTTGGTTTATTGGATTACAAGAGGGATTAAGCAAAAACTACTTAACAGATTACCATGAAACTTGACAGAAGGAAGTGGTATATGTCAGGAAAGCACCCATTAAATTTTGGTGCGGCTCTGGGGACGACCTAGGAGAATGATTCATGAATCTTTATGAATCCGAACCTGGTGAATTTAACTTTCATAAGGGGACTGTTGGTTCTTTCATGCTAGAAATATAAAGAAAACTTTTAAGTGCATATTTCTAAATAATAACAAAACAGTTTATACAATTGATGGCATACTACATTAGCTATATAGGAGACATAAAATAAAGTAGAGATTTTGCACAGAAACATAATGATGATAAATGTTTTTAAAAAAATTATTGCATACAAACGAAACCTTCTTCATAAAAATAATGGATTAGTGCTTATTTAGGTGTCAGTGACTGTACACAGCTTTTGCTTTGGAACGTTGTTTACAATAAATAGTCCCCTCCAGCACATAACGGATATTCACATCCATTACTGTGTCACAGGCTGGGATGGCCATCTCTACCTGCCGGTGAAATGTGACAGTGCCTGTTGAGATTACTCCAACAACCTCACGTTTTTCTGGCGGTGCAGAACCAGTATCACTGGCAAGATTATTTCATTATCTGAGTTCTGCATGTAAACACCACAACTTGCACAATTGCAAGAAAATAAATAGTGTTTTTTGCATGGTTTGTTTGCAGGAACTTACTTGAACAAAAATGTTAGTTTAAAGCCTTTTTTTTTTGTTCATTGATCAGACACTTTGTGTTGCTCCATTCTGCTCGTCTTTGTTATAAGTCTGTTTATTGGTTTCTGTGTTTACTTGTCTTCTAATTTCTCCTTGTGGACAAAGCACACCTGAAAATGTAATCTCTCCTATGTGTTCTACAACAAACACATAATATAGGTTAAATTGCTCTGCTGTCCCCTTTTCACTGTGCACCACCACTCGCTTGTTTCCCTAATAACAAAAAAGACCATGCAGGTAATTTAAAAGAAAACCAATCACCCGGAAGCTTTACAGGAGACTGTGGAGGTAAATACCCAACACGGACATGATGGGACAAAATAGAGATGCAATGAACGGGAAGGTAATGAAGAAAAAAAAATAGGGGAAAGTTAGCATTTCAGAGTTGTTTTCACATGTCCCCATTACAATATCAATTATGCAGCTTTTTAAAGTAAATGTTTTATCATGGTGGGTTGTTTCATGTGTCACTGGTGCCTTTGTTGTGTCACAATGTGCAGCACTTACCCACTAGAAGTGCCTCTTCTTTTCTATTTCTTATGTGCATGTGCAGGGAAGACAATTACAGTATGAGGGGCTGATGTCTGTGGACATCTTGGGTTTGCTCTTCCCATGTGCTTTTATCAGGACACACGTGATGTGATGTTGACCATCAAACTTTGAGGAGTGCTGTTGAGAACCACACAACTGATCACGCTCATGCACGCCTCAGCAGCAGTTAAAAACGGACAAAAATGATAAAAGTATAATAATACAACAAATTATTATTTATGTGGCGCATTTAAAAACAATGGCAGTTAACCAAAGTGCTGTACGATAAATGAAGACACAGTGCAAATTACAAAAAAGGGATAAAATAAGTAATATAAGATAAAATAAAATTGTGTTGATGATATTTAAACCACTGAAGGACACTTAAAAAGCCTCAGACAACATGAGAGTCTTCAGTCCCATCTTAAAATGTATCACATTAAAGAAAACAATCATGTTGCAGTGATAAAACATTGGTGAAACTGCAAACATCTTAATATTGCACTAATAAAGTTTACTACAGGCTGGTGAGCCCCTGACAGTTTATGGTATATGGAAATAACTGGAAATTAATGCGGCCTGTTTGTGTCTTGTTGAGTCAGATTTGATTTATTACCTTAAAACCTAATAGCCGCCCCACATCATATATCACACCTTTATAGTATCATTTTCCTTAACCGTTCCTTTAGGCTGTGAAGATTAATTATCTGAGCTAGCATACATCAGATTTTAGCTGCTGAGTTAAATATGAATTTTCCACATAAATAAATCCAAACAATGTCCTGCAACGAAGAGCTGACATAGATGTAGTGCGCCTCAATTACAGTCTTCATAAATCCACAGAAGCAGAAAGGTGTTGGAGCCTCCCCACACTGAGGATGGTGATCAGAGCCAGACCGATGAGAAGACTGACAGACTTGTGTTGTTGAGGTCACTGAGTGTTGAACTCAGTTTAGCTGCAGGAACATCAGCAGCAGCAGCAGCCGGTCCAGACTGAGGCCTTCACAGCTGCTCGGACATATCATCTGTATCTACTGGGGAATAGCCCTCCAGTTGTTTTCACTTTCTCCCTTTACATTTAATATGTAGGACCAAAATACTTAACTTTATTGACACATTTTTCTTAATGATTGATTTACAGATACAGAGCTATTTTTGCATGAATAAATGACAATGACGAAAGATACAGCAAGGAAATGTGTTAAATTAACAACTTATTAAGGCCTGATCACAAATTGCAAAGCAGTTCACGTTTGTCGACTGACACTGTTTATGTCAAACAGTTGCTATAAATCTCTTATGGTATTTGAATAGAGCAACATCTGGCTGTCATCCTCGACCGCTCCAGCAGGTGGCGGTAAATACATACTAATGTACGCGGTGTTCTCACGAGGCCCTGACACAGGTTCCTCCCTCAGCTCACAGGAATCAGTCATGGAGCTTCATCAGGAATCAATTCATCATTCAGACACACATTTAGATTGTGTGGACTCACTCTGAGCTTTCATTTACTTTGAGTCATTGACGAAGTGTGATTCAAATTAAAACAATAAACAATGCAAAAACCACCAAGGCGGAAAAAAATGTAAATGAAAATTATGTTGCTGCTTTTATAGCCGTAGTTTCAAAGCCCAATTAAATATCCATATACAGTTAGTTTGGCGTTTCCTTTTCTCAACATTGTCCCTCATATTTAAATCTGATGCCTCTGTCTTTGTCAAAGATCTTTATTGTCATTATACCATGCAGGTCCAATGACATAGTAAGCTATAACTATAAAAGTGGAAAGATATAGAGAAATATGAAATAAACAACAATAACATGAGGCATCACACAATGCTTCCATCATTCTAAATATTATGTTGTTTTTCATCATTATTCCCTGTTTGTATTATCTCTGGGCACATTTACTCACCCTCTATGTTTCATTTATATTATAAAACTTTTCTCCTCTTGAGGTTTTTTGAGAAATTTACTTTTTAGGGTCAACTCTCAGCTGGGGGGCGGAGCTCCACGCCAGACAACGTTAGAACAATCGCCTAGCAACCACGGCCGTAAAGCGGCGGCGGGTGTCGTGAAGGGGAAAGAGGCTGGTGTTGAAAAGAGTCGAGTCCATTGTGGTGTCGGAGAGGAGTGAGCCGCTGCCCCAGAGAAGAAGCACGGGAACACGGCTGATCTCTGACCGCACACGGACCCATGAGAGGCGGACTGGTGCGGACGGTGTGGCGCATCACAGCCGGCGGTGAAGAGGAGCGAGTCGTCCGGTCGGAAAGCTCCGGTACGTGAAGAGTTAAGACCCGACACCCCAACTGTTTATCCGAGGAGCTAGCAGGCTAGCTGGCTACATACCCGGGAGCTAGAGAATGGGGAGCCCGTGCGAGTTCGCCTGAGAGAGCCGATCTCCGTCGAGCTTTCCCCCCCGGGGACGCTATCGTCGCTGCGGACGGTTCGAAGCGTCCGTGTTCCGCCGCAACTTTCAGGGGATGACACCCAGCGAGCGATAAACGATTTCTTCCACAGAAAAGTCTCCCAGGTTTGTTTCTCACTTTGTTTCCCCTCAGTCAGTCCGGTGTGAACTTCACCGGAGCGCAGTCTCCTGCACCTCAGTTTGTAGAAACTAGTTCAAACAAAGATTGCACATGAAGCTGCTTCTCTCTGCTTCTCTCTTTGGCTTCAGCCTCAGAGGATGTTTGAAACACGAGAGCATCAACAACACAGAGTTGTTTCCATCAACAACTCTTAATCAGATGCCCACGTCCTCTAAACTGTGACAGGAAGCGTTTTATTACCACAACTAGTGCTTGTGGTGGCTCTGGTGTCATTTTTTTCTGCATCTCAATCTGCTGCAGTTCATCTTATTTCCGATGTTGCTGCTTCTTGCATTAGACCACTTCAGCCATAAAATAAGACAAGATACAACTATTGATTTACGGAAGTTTATTTCCACTACAACATGATATAATGCACAAAGCTGCAATCTACTGTCCTCATGCTGAATCCACTGTGCAGCCTCCAGATGTGGAGAATGCAAGGGAGAATGCATATTCATCCCTTCAGCCTCTTTTGCTTTTTGCATGCAGGACATTTTCAATTAAAGCAGCAACACTGGTTATAGGATTGAATCGCCTAAGGGGCCATTCACATTTTAGGTTTGTCCATTGTAATTGATGCTGCAACCTATTTATTATTCACTCAAAATAAACCAACAACAACAAACCACTGTATCTCAACAGGTTTCCGCTCGTCCGACCTGATTTGGATTGATTTGCCTTGTATTTTCTCTCCATGTTAGTGTGAGTATACACGAGGTTGAGAGATTTGCTCAGCAGACAGACGGACTTGAGACTGAGAAACAGGGTGTAATTCACGTTAATAGCTAAGATTGAGATTTCTGTGGAATAATAATGCTTGTGTGGCAACTTCCCTTGATTTCTTCGAGGGGAAAAACAGATTACACAAACACTCCGACTGTTTTGGTCCAGATAAAGATTATATTAAGTCTCGTGGAATTTCTCCTGACAATCTAATGAATGAATACTTCTTATTTTTCACAAGACGAGACTAATTATGGAGGCTTTCTGCACGGCTGGTCGACGAGGGAACTGTGAAAATAGACCAGTGCACTTAAGATGTTCTGCTGGTGGTTGATTTGAATATTTCTCAGCGCTCAGCAGGGGAATGTTTTGCAACTGTAAACCTAAAACCTCCCGCAGGGGCAGAATATTTTTCATTTTTGACCTCAAAACCCACCGAATCAAATGGAAAAAAACAACAGATATAGAACTGCATTAGAAGTGACCTCAAAAGAAATGATAAATGTCCGTCAGGTAATTAATCCCCCCATCTGCCCATCTTCCAAACACATTTCCCATCGGTTCAAACTGAAGTTTGTTTTGGCAGCTTGATTTAATCCCTTCACATCAACGACACATTGTGTTTCGCAAGAGCATTAACGACAGATTCGCCTGTGTCACAACTTTTCAAACTTTTTGCTGAGCGATGCTGTCTCATGAAAATGTGCAGCTGTTTGAATTAAACAAAACCAAACACGCTCTCTGCTGAAGAATCCAGAGCAGAGTCTTCCCAGTTCAAGTGTTTCCTTCCAAACAGCTGCGGCAGTTGGGCGCAGAAACAGATATCATTGATATTCTCATTAAAATCTCAGGCGTTTGGCTCAGGCCAGAGATGAACACACCAACGTTCATGTGGGGGATGCTGCTAATTGGTGTTTATATTCTGAGGACTTGATGTTCCATGAGGCTTGTGAATGTTGCCATCGTTTGTATCTATCCATCACTGTCTACGTCTTTGCTGTACTCAGGCGGTCCCACTGTGGCTGAATGTTTTTGTGATCAAACACTATCGACTCCCTCAGTCGATAACCTTGACAACAGTAGTTCCTCTCTTCAGCTAGAGCCACTCATTGCAATGGAAAAGGGTGAGGGCTGGCTGGAGGGGGGAGGTCAGAGGAGGCTTTTTCCGAACTCTGAGTAGAGCTTCGTGGTAATGCCGGCTCCGGTCTCCGGAGGGGGAGATGCGTTTGTGTGTTTCCATTCAGAGATGGAGAACTGCTACTCTGTATTCAAGTGATCTCTTTCCATTCATTTCCATCACAAGAGCAATAACTCAGAGTTTCTCTCACCTTGCAGTCCATTAGCTATACATTTGTTGTATCTCTTTTCACTCTCTCCTTTACTTCCTCCTGCACTGTATTCCACTCCTTTCCACCACTTCCTCTCTCGCACTCCCTTTTGCATTTCCAGTGGAATTAATCAAGCATGTTCATGTGTGTGGCTTGACTTCATTATATCATAATGAAGTTTAGCCTCAGGTGCAGTGAAGGAAATGGGTGAGCCCGGGAGTAGCCACCATTATCTGAAACCAGCTTTTTGCACAATGAGCTGTAGGAAAGATTATTTGAGGAGGAAATTTCTTTTTGAACCTCCTCTTTTCTTATCTGAATTATTCTGTCAAAATCTAAGTTTAATAAAGGTTGTAATATTGGAATATTACAATGTCATTTTCATCCATTTCAACCTTTGTCATTCTGTTTTAAGCCGACATGGGGCCTTTTGCTTCATCTTGCGCCTTTTCTGTGCCAGTAATGAGCCATTTTGCGGCTCTTAACATCTGCCAAACTTGGAACATTTTGAATGCAAGACTCATCTCCCATGCATGAGGAGTCAGGCATCCTTTGATTTGCCCTCCTTTTCTTTGCCTTCCTTTCGAAATGCTCACCACCGTGTACTTTGTAGGCCGAGAACGCTGAAAAACTTTCTTAGCCCACTTTTGGCAAGCGGCTGTGTGCGATGAGAGGTAATTTGGTGCTTGTTCTAAACAAGTTCTCCTCTTGGTATTGTGCATCCCTCCTTCTTCCCGAGTGCAGAGGGAGCAGAGGCACCGTGGGGAGGAACGGAGGAGGGGAGCTAATTTAAAACACACTTTTTTTCTGTGGGCACAATGAGGTTTGTTCAAAAGAAAACACAGCCTTAAATTTCACTGCCCGTCTATTCCGGTGGGTAACATCTGTGTTGGAATACAAAGCGTCTGGCTTTAATTTGGAGCTAAAGTGAACTTTACCCTTGTCAAGAATCTGAGTAGGCAACCATGCCATTGAGGCCTCTGCAGTCTGCCCTTGTCTCTGCATGTTATGCTTCATATACCTCTCAGCAACGAGGTGGTTTGCAGCAGCAGTAGAGAAAGTGAGGCAGACAAAAAAATGGTTTTGCAGGTGTAAAATTCAAAAGGAGCCGTCTAGTGGGGTAATTATGATGGGAAAATATCTCCGTCTTAAATCAACCGCGCCGTCCTTCGATTAAAGCTGAATGTTTTGGTCTCATCCGCACCGTTACTGTGCGTGTAATAGCAGCAGCAGCAGCAGCAGGCAATAAAAACTAACCTCGTAGCATTTCACTTCACATACCTCTCTGCTCCTTGCTAAACAAATGTATAGGATCAAGGATAAGCCACTGCTGCCACATTTCTGTGTCTCCCTCACACATGTGAGCATTTTAACACCTGGGTTGTCTCTCATTAACAGGGAGGAATTGCCAGGTGTAGCTTATCCTTTTTACTCCAGCAATTGGTGAAGTCATTGACACAATGCACCAAATGCTCCACAGGTAATTGAGGCCCAACTCCTTTGACGAGTAAGAAGCTTCGTATCCTGCCGTTGTCAGCCTCCAGCTCATGCATCTCATTATCCCGTGCTGTCAGGGTCTTTTTGCAGGGTCTTTGCTCCAGCTTTATCGTTGTTCTCCCTCCACCTTCTCTCAGGGATGAGGAGGTGAACATCTTTTCTTGGGCAGCTGACTGAGGTTATGTTTCATCCTCTCTGAGCCCTCTGCTGATCCTAGGTAAATCTCTTATCTGCTCCCAAGATCTTGCAGCCAGGTCTGCGTCGTGACTTTCTCTGTCAGATGCTAAATGGCACTTGAATCGAAAATCATGGCGCTACAGGATATTCAGCTTCTTTTTTTTCCCTCAAGCAGTCAGCTCCATCTTGTTCCCTGTAGTAAGAGATGAACTTTATTTTGACGGAAGTTGTTTGGGGGACAGACTGGATTTTCTTTTTTTCTATCTTTCGTTTCTAATATAAATATGTTGAATATTTAATATGTTGGCCTTTTTAGTTAATTCTGAATAGAGTGTGGTTCATTTATCAGACAGGAGGCAGCCGGATGTGGACCAGCAGCTTCTTTATTTCACTTTCTGAATGAAATATAAATGATCTTTTTTCTACCCAGGTATCTCAGGTGGGCTTAAAGTAATAATACATTCAAAACATCTCTCCTAAAAGATTAATTTCCACAGTTTAAAATTTCTATCACTGTGCTTCAATTTAACACTAAAATATATAAATAAATGTCAAGCCACGTCTTGGAAATTGATGACATTATTATTAAGATTTACAGTAGCTATTTGATTAAATACCGACTTTTAAATGATTTAAAGATTGCCTCCATTTAAAAGCTGTAAAAGGAAACCCTGCTACTTTCATTATCCCCATCTTATTATGGTGAGAAGAAAATCATATGCTCACTGTTGAGTTGATTTTAGATTTGTGGCGAGAAGAGAAAAATGTATGAATCATGTTTTTCGTTTTCCTTTTAAAAAAGGAAAAGCTGTCTGTAGCTCCCCTATTTGGATATGATCTATTTTTACATTACTGATGTTTGGCATGATCTGCCTGAGGTATTTTCAGACAGAGGCGTGAGGTAGGAACCAGTGTATCCAGCTTCCTTATCTGACACTCCACAGCTGCACGTCACCCCACAATCGCCGCTCTCTTGGCTGCCTGCGGCCCTTCCAAATCTCTGCCACTTCGATCTGAAAGCAAAAACGCAAGGAACCCATCGACGCGCGCACTAATCACACTAGTGTGCCTGCTCGTTAGCCATGCCCTCTCAAGTCAGCTGTCCTAATAGGCATGTCCTAATGAGCTCTAATTGAGGATGGCTCATTTGCATGGCCTGACTCAGTCTTTCTTAAAGCGACTTAAAAGATTCATTCCCAAAAAGCTGATTGGGTGGCCTAACATGGCTTCATCACAGGGACGGACTATGGGGGGGGGGCCCTTGTGAGGCTTTTTCTGAGAGCATTGTTCTTGTGCTGTGAGCCCAGATTGTGGTCTCTCTCTTCCCTTCTCAGTTCCTCCTCCTTCACTGCTGACGTCGATATGCCTAATGGAGGTATTCACAGAACACCCCCCCCTCCCCCTCCCCTCTCAACCACAAATGCTGTTTCAGTGAAGCAGCCATTTTCAAAGAATCAACTTCAGATCGTGATTAAAACGAAGCAGGGCAGCTCTGATCAAAGGTTAAATTACACAGCGTGATTCCCTCCACAATTAAATGTATGATTCCTCAATTTTAAAGTGAGAAGGAAGAAAAGAAATAATCAAGATTTCTGAGTATTGCAGATGCTGTGTGATTTGCTGTGCATGGGAGGAAAAGTGATGGATACTTCTGTAGCTGCAGAGGGGTAGTCCACTGAGGAATCATCCTCGGAGCGCATCACATTTTATTTATACTAGGAGAGGACATTGTACATTTCTTCCTAATTTGATCACTGACAAGTTATTTTCCCCTTTTACATTTTTATTTATCATCCAATGTTTCAGGAGTATACAAAAACTCTCAAACAGGCACAGGCAGGTTTTATTGCATTGGCTGTGGGCCATCTCATTTCAGCTCAAAAAGTAATGAAATCTCTCAAATGACCCAAGCGATTCAAATTTGTGAGACCATTTCATATGCCAGAGAAAGTGTTTTTTTTGTTTTATTGGAGGTATCTCATGTTAGGACGAAGGGTCTGAGGTTGCAGACCCAGCAGAAGAATCTTTTTTCATTTTTTGCACTTAATCATAACCAAGAGGCCAATTGCAAAGTGTTTATGACATGTTGTTTGTTTTATTTGCCCTGATATGTTCTCCTCTCTCACTGCTTGGTTTCAGGCCTGCTGACTCAAGATTGCACACAAACACCAAGAAGGGAGAACATGACTCACCGGCCTCTGCCAGAGACCGGCATGGGGCAGTTGTGCCAACCCCGCCCCTGCCTGCCACTTTAGAAGCTACCCCGGTTTGCCATGGCGGAGAGGCATTGAGGTTAACTCTCTGACAATTATCTCAATACCTCTCCTTCTCCCTGTCCCTCAAGACCCCTCCCCTCCCCCGCTTCTGCCCCGTCCCCATCATGCTGCGGTTCCTGCCCCTCAAACTTGGTCGCCTGTACCGCTGTCTGAAGCTCCTGTTTGTGGTGGGGTTGTTCGTCATTCTGTTGATGAACACACACAACCTGTTCGCCTCCTTCCAGAAGAATGAGCTGACTGACCGACGCTTCATCAACCTCAACAAGTGTCCCGCCTGCTTTGGCACCAGCTGGTGCCGCAAGTTCATGAACGGTCAGGTCTCCTTCGAGACCTGGGGTCGCCTGCGATTCCTAGACGTATTCAATGTCAAGAATGTTTACTTTGCACAGTATGGTGAGCCCAGAGAGGGCACCCGTCGGGTGGTGCTCAAACGTCTTGGCTCCAACCAGGAGCTGGCCGAGATAGACCAGAAAATCTGCAAGAGGGCCACAGGCAGGCCGCGCTGTGACCTCATTCAGGCAATGTACAAGACTGAATTTGCCCGGATCAACGGTGATGTTCGCCTGCTCACTCCGGAGGTGGTGGAGGGCTGGTCAGACCTGGTGCACTGCCCCTCTCAGAGGCTGCTGGACCGCGTGGTCCGCCGGTACGCTGAGACCAAAGACTCGGGCAGCTTTCTGCTCAAGAACCTCAAGGACACAGAGAGAATGCAGCTGCTCATGACGTTGGCGTTCAACCCAGAACCACTTGTACTTCAGGTACTGTCTGTTTAATCTTCGTTTAAAGCAGTTTAATGCAATGTGTTTTTGATTTATTTGTTTTTACTATTTTAACTGCTTCCATTCACTGTAGTATGTTTTACACAACAGCACTAATATGGAATTTGTCCAAGCACACTAAAGCAATATTTTTCTGTGTGATAGCTGCTACTTTTATTTGCTACATATCTTCAGATTTATCAGAGCAGCTTTACCTGCAGGTGATAAATCAGCAGCAGGGGGAGGTGGACGGAGGAGATGACTGATGGTTGTAGATATCTTTTTGGTTCATACAACCTCTCTGTGTGTTGTCATATCACAACTATTATCGGGTTTATTGACATTTTACATTTGTCTCCGGAGATCTTTCAGTCTATTGAGTGCTGCTGTAAACATTGCTGTTGCTGCTGCTTATTAAAAGTAATAAGAAGAATCTTTAGAAGTATCTTTAAAGAACCAGATAGGGTGTACTGTATGGAGCAGATAGAAATAACAATAAATGGCTATCCCCTGATGGGAGAATCCCCTGTGCCTCAATGCTACAACCTCCAGAAATGTAGGGAAAATCATGCATTCACACACTCAGCATGCGAACATTTGACTTAACAGTGGGAGACCTGGGTGCAGGGGCCATTTGGCCGATCAGATGGAGCCCCAGATAGCCGTCAGCTGCCCTCCGAGTAATTGGTGTCAATTTGGTGGTGACTGTGAGGTTAAATTAGCTAGTGCGAAGGATGTGGAAGGCAAGGAACGCTAAATGCACACATCAATATTTCTTTATTTATCTGAAGTTATATTGCCATGGGAATAAAGAATAATGTTATTGCCAATGCAGATTTTACCTGAATTGTGAAAGCTTTCAGAGAAGCAGTGTCTGGATAAACTTTGCTACAAAGGACAAAGAAAGCTAGGGTGTTGGCCTGCAAAGCCCCCCAGTAAATTACAGGGTGGAGAATCCTCCTTTTCCTTCCTCTTTCAAAGATCTGAGATGAACCATTACACCCTCCCTAAACTCCAGGCTACATCGAGACCACGCTCCCGCTATCTGGAGCACGAACATTCCTCCATGCTTAGAATAGAGAAGGGCTTAAGAGCGGTGGCCTCCCAAAAGATGAGAGATTTTGGCTGGCGGCAATACTGCATATTTAACACTATATGTAGGGCAATTCTGAATTATTAAGGGATACATCTGTAAATGATCCAAGTTGGTTTTAATTTTAATATAAGTCTGTGTCCAGTGGATTCTCGTCACTTTGTGGGCGACAGGGATCTCTTTTCATGGCTCCCAAAGTCCAGCTTTTTTTTAGGCTTTTGAAAATACTGTTACTGACTGGATATATCAACCCATCTCTATTCTGTCATCCTGCATGTCAAAGTTATATATCATTTAAGCACCATCAACTTCCCTTTCCCTCACTGATTTACAAGCAGCCAATCAATTTCAATTTCAATCCGGCATTGACCGCGTCTCGTGAGGGAGACAGAACAACAATGGTCATGGCCCATGTAGAGATTCAATAACTTACTCTGACCTCTAACCCCCCCACACACAAACACACAGGGTCGGACACCTCCAGGCATTTCAGAGGACAAAAAGGCAAGATCAGCCTTTTAGTTTGGGCGATCTATAAAATCTGATTAGCCTTGTGTGGCCGCCCGCCCTTCCCCCGTCCTCCCTTTTCTTCTCCTTTCTTTCTCATTGTATCTTTCCTCTGTCTGTGTCACCCATCCCTTTTTTTCTGTGTACGCTCCACAAACCGGGCCAGATAATTCCATCAGTGTTTTTAATGCCATTATGCCCCAGTTGAGAAGCTTGGTGAATCACTCCCCCCGTCCCTTATCTTTTGTACATGACACACACAAACACGTCGTGTGCACACATTGTCCGCAGCTCTCCTCACTCCACTCCTTTGCATGTTTACAGGGACTCATGAATTGTTGATCTCATCCTGAACTTATGACCTATGGGCATTAGAAAGAACTGTAGGGTGTGTGCGTGTGTGTGCGTGCGTGCGTGCGTGCACCAGGCTCGGGGTAACAGATGGTGAACATGGTTTGTGGGGGATGGATAATGTACAAAGAAATGTGCTAGACATCTCAGAATCACAGATCCTGAGGGCCTTGACTGTTTCGTCAGAATCACTGGACTCAAAAAAAAAAAGAAAAGAAAATTTACGAAAAAAATTTGCAGAGAGGCTGAGAGGGCCTATGCACAAGGCTGGGCAGCAGTAGACCATAAAGAATTAATGGCGTCCATAGAGACTGAACAGGAGACGTGCTGTACTACAACACCTTGGTCTCCTTTTTTGCCAGAGGTTACTGCTGCCGTGTGGGGACTGGTTTTGACAAAAGATCGAGAAGTCCTGGCTGGATTATGTCCAGTTATTTAATGAAACCTGATCTGCACTTCAACTCTGTCGCTTAGGCTTCTAGTCAGGCTTGTAGAAATGCTGGAATATGCGTGGTTGTAGTCAAACATCTTTGGTAAGTTCGAGAGGCCATCGCTCAGTGTGTAATTTAAAGTTTCTATATTTAGTGTAAATGATTCCTACTGTCAGTCCTCGCCAGAATGATGGTTTAGCTCTTTTCCCCTGTCGCTCCCCTCTGGTTTTCTACAGTTAAATATGTGAATAGCGTTTCTGCTATGTGCTCACTAAGCTGCACTCTCTCTTAGAATGGCTTCTGTTTCCAGTCTTTTGAAGCCACAGGCAGTAAATCGTCCCTGTTTCACTATGAGAAACCAGACCTTCTTTGTCAGTGGGAAACAATCTGCTGTGTTGTTTCGATTCTGGCCAACAATGTGTTTTCTGTGTGCTCTGCGGTACAACAAGCACACATGCATACACACACACACACACACACACACACACAACACCCCCAACACCCCCACTCGTCCTGTCACGTGGAAGACAATTTGGCTTTGGGGAATAAATATTTTTGGAAGACAAAATGACGACAGCCAGACAAGAAAATCCTTGTACAATGGGAGAGCCCTTATGCAGCTTCATCTGTTTTCTCACTTGTTTCCTCTGAACCAACAGTGTTTGTCTTAATGTTGCACAGACACTTTGGCCTGAGCGGGTTTCAGCAACTATGATCAGTGTAGTTGTGATGTGGGGGGGGGTTGTCTCTCTGCCACCAAGAGAGAAATACATAATGCTTTTTAAAGGTATAACCTGTAACAAAAAAACCTGCACCATATATTTTGTTGACTTATTTTCTAACATTATCATACATATTTCAGATTTTACTAATGACATAAATGAAGATACTGTTCTATTTAGATACGCAACAATTCTTCATTAAAATACCTTAAAAGAACTAGAACTATGTTATATATTTAGTTGATTTGTGTACTTGGTTCCCACAATGTTCAGACCCAGTGAAAATCCTTGTTTTATACACCTTTTATTTTGGTTGTCTCAAAATTGTCATATTTGCTTTACCCATAGCTTTTCCCCATCTCTGCTATAACTTCCAGGGCAAATAATGTGTGGTGAAGGAAAAACACTGCTAGCCAGTACGCCACAATGCTGTTTTTTCCTCTCACTGTTTTTTTTGGTCACTTGTAATTGCGTCTGCGTAACGTTTACATGAAAAGTGATTAATTTATTCTTCTCGGTTCCCTGGCAAGACTCTTATTTTTGTGATCCTTAGCTTCTCTCCTCTGGTGAGATGACACATTGATTCATCAGCTGATGGTTGTGTTTGATGGAGTATATCTGGCCAAAACCTTAAATTTGTTTGATTTAGCCTAGTCCTCCCTTCCAAGTGATTAAGCTTGCGGAGTTAGCCAGGAGCATGTGACTGCACTTGCACCCTTTTTGGTCCTCATCCCTGTCTTGCTCAGTGAAGCTGAGAATAGGATGTGACAGGCCTGTGGGGTTAACTCAGTCAGCAGTACTCTCATGTCCTCCAGACTCAAATCTGTCCTCTCCCAGACACCCCTCTCCCTCTTTCTATTACGATCCCTCGCCACCTTGCACAGATCCACCTCCTCATTCAACACCCCAGCTTCACTGGACATGGTGACATACTCGTCCGAGGGCATGAACCTCCCTCACCACGTTTTTCCCAGAACACAGAAGTCTGACACTGATACAAAATCAGAGAAGAGACAGAAGACAGAGATTTGAACTCGATGGCCTCATCTCTATTCCTCTATTTTAAAAGCAAATTCTTAAGTAAACGTTCACAGCTTTTTAAACAAACCAGTTCAATAGCCTGTTTGAATTTGTCTTTAAACGGGGGTTGATACCTCTTTGGTATGCTCTTGATTTAATGACGCTCTACATAATCTATTATGATGCTCATTCACTTTGGGGAGCAAAGCCAAAATAAACAAAATAAATTCAGGGTTTTTCTGGCACAGAGTGAGTCAAACGTAGAAACTCAACCGTGACCAACTGAACCTGGATGTATTTTTAGTTGGAAAATATATTTAAATTCATCAGGTCAGAAGTAGATGTGCTACCTGCCCACATCAGCTATGAGTCAGGTAATCCTATGACTGTGTAACTAAAATAAAAAAAGATTTCGTATGGGACCATATTTTAAATTAAGCAATAAAGAAGACAGACAAACCTGGTTGTCTCTACATTCCACCTTATCTGCAAGACAGACACAATTATTTTACAGTATGGTGAATAAAATACAAATTGGCAAAACCTTTATAATTGAATGCAGCCCATTAAAGCAGCCCTGCTATTCTGTATGGAATCTTGTCTGTTTTTCAGACTGTCTCAGGGGCTTCACAGGTAGTTTGTTGTAGTGTTTGCACAATACTATGAAATATTGAATTTTCTCTATAGTGGTAAAACAAGTGAGAAATGCACCTTTGCACACTAACATAGCTGCAGTGTTCACAAAATGTCTAATGTATTTAGAAATGTATATATTTTTAAAGTCTTTGTTTTCTGCATGGTCATGCTCTGACAAAGGATGGACAAAATCTGTGCTGTTTATTTTATCTGTGCAGCAACAACAACAAAAATCTGCAA